CACAGAAAGGAGAATTCTACTGCCTGAGGGTTATAATCCCTAAGTGCGGCCGAAGGCCGCCTACGCAGAAAGGTGTTCTATGCAAAAGGTGTTCGGCCCTTTTCTTTGGCAACACAGAAAGGAGAAATCTACTGCCTGAGGGTTATAATCCCTAAGTGCGGCCGAAGGCCGCCTACGCAGAAAGGTGTTCTATGCAAAAGGTGTTCGGCCCCTTTTCTTTGGCAACACAGAATGGAGAATTCTACTGCCTGAGGGTTATAATCCCTAAGTGCGGCCGAAGGCCGCCTACGAAGAAACGTGTTCAGCCCCTGATCCCCCTACTATTTATTTTAATCTGAACAAAATAACCTTATCGTATTTTCCTTTTAATCGTATTTTTTTTTGCTCTTGCTTTCCACTCTTGGTTTTTTACATATGGCAACACAGTCCTGCTGCCATTTGCACATATTCTGCATGTACTCTCATAAAATTAAACAACAATCAATTTTTTATAAAAAAGCTGTAATATTCTAAAAGTATTTATTTGTTTGAACGTGCACACTCTAGCTGCGCATATATTGAGTGTAAATAACGTGTAAATTTAGTGGAAAGTGCATTATATATTGTGAAATAGTCCCATACAAGTTGGTGAAAATTACAAACTTTAATAACAAATTACTTCAAAACTATAAGGTTGCGCGCTTTAAAACTTTACATACACCCCCTTTAGAACCCCCTCTACCCTCCCTATTTTCCTTAATTCCGTAATCGGGGGTTACCATTCTAAAATTTTCCCCAGCTTTTTTATAAAAAATTGATTGTTGTTTAATTTTATGAGAGTACATGCAGAATATGTGCAAATGGCAGCAGGACTGTGTTGCTGGTTCATGATATAACACCACCTTGTATAAATTCACCTTGTTCTGCTACATCGATTGCACATGCAACTTACGTTTAAGCGATATTGCCGTTCGTATCCTTTGTCGCGTTTTATGTAGAGGGACTGACCTCCATGAAAAGCAAGCTTATGAGCATGTTGTTTTCCATCAATCACTCGTGCTCCATCAACAGGCCGCAGGGGCAAAATATCAATTCTACAATCTATAATACATGCAAGAATGTAGTCAATAGTAGTAGTGCACGGAAGATTGTCAAGATTTACCAATAATTAAAGTTAACTTTCCACAAAGGCAATAATATATATTTAATGGCTTTTCTTCATTGTATTCTTCTTGATCCTTAGAATCCGAGCAAACAATGCTGCGTGAAACCACTTTAGGCATTATGCCTTTCGTATAACATAATTAGGGACAAAACGGTACTAGAAAATACAAGTACATACTTGATACTTTTCGTCCGATTCCAAGTAATTTTGGTATCGATACTTGCGAACCGAGTACCGAGTAGGTATCGGAAGAAAGTACTTGTATCGAAACCCGGTTCATTTTGGCAGCTTAGTTGCATGAACGAAAGACACAAGATCACGTAAGAACAAGAGAATGAAAAAGTTTGTTGCATTATTTTACCTAAGGCTTTCTGCTCATTGGTCGTCCAATCATAGTTGAGTCATAGTTATCGTCATGAAGCAACGATTACATGACGATTACACTTCTGCACACTTGGTCGTGATATTTCAATTCATTTGGCGTCTAAAAATTCACTTGGAGCAGGTATTTTCTGTTTTTTTTGGTTGATATTTTCGCGAAATATTTACAAAAACCTGCAATTTTTTAAATATAGACTGTGCTGCAACATTTCTAGACGTAATTTTCCAGTAATATCTCTTCTTTTCTTTTCCTGGAATGTGTTTTGTGTATGCACACAGAGACTTAATACAATTTCGTCATATTTTATAGTTAAAACGCTCATATTTATTAAATTTTAATGCAATTATCCACTTTTTAATAATTTCCACAGATTTTATGCAAAAAAATACTAATTTTTATACAATTTTAATGCAAATATTAACTTTTTCACTAATTTTCCCCCATAAAATGTAAACAAACAATGCGTGCACAACGATTAGCAAACGACAGTGCCGTACTTATCCGTTTCTGCATCTTCTACGATTTGCCGATAACTAGCCGATAACGACAAGTGTGCAGATCTCCTTTGAAATGCATGTGCTCGGCTCAAAATTTCAGGGCGAGACGATAACGCAACTATGATTGGACGACAAGTGTGCAGATAGCCTAAATTGTGCGTTTAAAGTGGCTGACAATAATTATGGCTAATTTTGGTTTTCGTTGTTTTCTTGGCTGAGATTTCCTATAATGGACCATTTCCTATATCACCCAAAGTATTAGGAATTTTTTAATGAAATTCGCAGGGGGTGTTGAGGAGGCGCTCATTGACCGATATCATCAACATTTTGTGTACAAATGCTGATAGTTTTTAAGTTATTCGTTGTTAAAATTTCCCCACTGCTTCACAATTATTTTTTTATGAACACTGCACTAATCACTTTTCTTTTTATTAACACACCATCTTTTCTTCATAAACAAATGGATGCACATCTTTTTTCACTAAATATTTAGCCATTAATGCTTATAAAAGTGTTCTTAAAATATTTTTCTATTCTCAAAGAATAGTAAACACACAATTGTTCAGCGATGGCCGCCATGAATGAGGTGCCATATCGTTGAAAATGTTAATAGTTCTTTTTAGCCAAAAATACTTTGTGATGCATTACGGGATCTTTTGCGGCGCTTTTTTCTAAAAAATCCAATACTTCCATATATCTTGAAAATTTTTAATAAAAAATCGCGCGATTTTTTATTACAAATTTTCGCCTGCGGCGCTTTTTTCTAAAAAATCCAATACTTCCATATATCTTGAAAATTTGTAATAAAAAATCGCGCGATTTTTTATTACAAATTTTCGCCTGCGGCGCTTTTTTCTAAAAAATCCAAAACTTCCATATATTTTGAAAATTTTCACCTACGGCCCTTTTTTTATCAATTCTTCCATATATAGTGAAAATATCCAATAAAAAAGCTATATCATATATGTACATGTCCACTTTATTACTTACGTTTTCGTTGATTCCCTTTTCAGTACTTTTTTTTACACATTTTTTGTGATGTGTGGCAGCACCGCAATTTCAGTTCACTCGATGTACAAAGGAAAATGTGAGGTTAAATTGCACTTTTTTTACAACTTTAACAACGAATTACTTAAAAACTATAAGCCTCCGGAGGGGGGGGTTTCATATTTAGAATCACAAAAAGCCGCTCTAAACCCCCTCTTTTTTTTCAAAGCCTGGTCCATTATTGGAAAATTTTCCCACAAAATGCTTTAAAATGTGTTGTCATGTTGAATTAACTCTTCTTTAATTGAATAAAAGTGTAAAATAGTGGTGCTTGTGATGTAAACAAACGCTCAGCTGACGAACCCGCCTTCGCAAACTTTTTCCTCAAAACCAGTTACAAATACAACGTCGCGTTCTTACGTGATCTTGTGTTTTTGGTTCATGGCTTAGTTGTGCCAATGAAAAGAAAGTCCTGCAAAGAAAAGCCTATTGTCATATCTATAACATATCGCTAGCTTAATGTGAAAAGGTGCTAAGTCCACTTTTTGTGAAAACTCATATTTGGATATAGGAAGCAAAGTGAATTAAAAGCGCAACGTCTCCAAAGGGATTAACCAACGTGCTTGTTTTATTTCTACCCATTTGTATCCAATTAAAGCCAAATTCAAAATCAAAAATAATTGTCACATAAGTTATTTTGACAAAAATTCATAGATATATGATAGTATTTTTTATACAACCCATTCTTAGGGCCAGTTTTTCAGTGCACGGCCGTGCTTTAAACTAAGTTTAAACGCCCGATCTGGCTGCTTTAAACTAAGATCAGCCAATCAAATGTCAATCAGCTGTTCAATTTAATACCATGTTCTAACCGACATCGAAAACATGTTTTCGTTGCTAAAACTGGTTTTCATCCTAAAACATGTGTTTTCGTCAATGTAAAATCTGTCAAACGAAAACCAGTTTTCGCTGAAAACTACTTGAAAGCTCACGTTCCACTCATTCCAATCGGTGTCTTAACTAGTTTTTTTCGATTATTTATCGAGGTGGAAGTCGTATTTTCTCATCTTTAATACGCTATTTCGTATTTATTGTTAATTGGCTGGCCAAACTAAAATAAGAATGAAAGTAAGAGGTTGCTAATGAAAAGAAAATGTGGGAAAAGCATTTTGGTTTTGTTTTTGTGTAGCAAAACTGCAATCAGAGGATGTAAGAAATGTCAACGAAACCACTAACAGCCGGTGTGAACAGCCTTCAGCCACCAATTCCAAAACTCGTTGTCAAAGTGTTTTCGTTGTCGGTCAGAACATGGTATAAACTCAGTTTACTTAATCTCAGTTTAAACTGGCACTGAAAAACTATCGATACTTCTAGCCAGATACTTAGTAGGTATCGATACTTTCTTTCGATGCAAGTCTCAGTACAGGTATCGATACTTCGATGGTATCGTTTTAAACCTAAAGATAATCCACTCACTCGATGTTATACTAGGTTCACATATACTAGGTTAACCTCATTTTCGAGCTTAACACCTAAAAGTATGTTCACATATCAATATTATCTCAATCAAAGCTCGTTTTTTAATCACCTGTTTACATAGGCAAATCTCAGATTATTAGCTGTCAAATTGGTTGTGGTTGTTATTCTCACATCTCAAGGAAAAGTTATGTTATGTTTCTTCCATGATAAAAATATAGCAAGGTAGAACCGTTCTCTCAATTTGTCGGCCGTGATTTTTTTTTGAAGTTTGCCAACATTTTAAAATCATATAAAAGTGAAAATAAAAAAATGATTTTGTTCGAAATTGTTGTTGCTTGAGTTTGAAAATGAAAATGTATGTGTGAGTTTGTGAGTAAATTAAAAAACTAAATTGTTTGGAAACGTCAAGAATTTGAAAAGTGACTCTCAGCGGTTCTACCTTACTATATTTTTATCATGGTTTCTTCTCTGTGCCACCGTGATCCCGTTTTTCTGCTATAATAAGCAATATACATATATTTTAACTTAACATTTTATTGAAAATACCTTTACAAACCTCTTTTCCCTGCTTGCGTCCATTTTGGTTTACTTTCACATTTGGCATTTCTCCTCTTTTTCGCAAAAACAATCGATAAAACTAGGATGGACACCGAAAAGTTATCGGTTAAATCTGAGATTATCTAATAATTACAGATTAACAAGGGACGAATTTTAAATGGCTAATCTCTTGTTCTAATTACAGATTAGGTGTTAAGCTCGAAAATGAGGTTAATCTAGTTATATGTGAAATTAGTATAATAAAGGTATTTTTAATAAAATGTTAAGTTAAAATATATGTATATTGCTTATTATAGCAGAAAAACGTGATCACGGTGGCACAGAGAAGAAACATAACTTTTCCTTGAGATGTGAGAATAACAACTACAACAGATTTGACAGCTAATAATCTGAGATTTGCCTATGTAAACGGGGTGATTAAAAAACGAGCTTTGATTGAGATAATATTGATATGTGAACATACTTTTATTAGGAATGAATCGATATAAGTAAATTCTAGTACATACTCGATACTTTTCTCAATTTACCAAGCGCAAAAGTTATTCAACCCAATTCTGAATATTCCCGAGGATTTCATTTCTCGCTGAT